GTTTTTTTTAAAAACTCAGCATATTCTGTGCTTTTCTTAACCCCACTGAACAGATACTAAAGAGAACTTTTCCTTGACCCTCCCATTACCTTACCCCACAGAAACAAATAAATGAAAACTGAGCTTTTCAATTTTTGTTCACATAAGCATCTTTGACAGGTTTGGGACTTCTGTTTGCATATGGTCCAGCTGACTGACAGAAGAAGGAATTTATTGCACTGCAACACAAGGCTTCTTCCTTCTAGGCTACTACACAACTACTAGTAGTAGGAACAGACATTCATTTGATAGTTGTTCACTGATTTTACTCAAAGCTAGCTAACCCAATCTAGCTAACGCAACCTTAGCTAGATATTTCATGGATGAACAATTACATCCCAGAATGCACTATCTCAAACGGCTTGCTGGTGGCAGAGGAGGTGCCAATAACTTACACATGGCTCATTTCTGGAGCAGGCTATCTTTCTGCTGGCATTGAAGCAGGAAAGCAAGTGAAGGATGGGAAATGAAACACTGGTAATATCCCAGTTATATTTGCAAACCACAGAACAAACTTATTTTTTAAAAAAAACAACCATTTTGAACAACCCACAAACTACAGGGGAGAGAATACAGATTACAGTTTATTTTTCCAATATAACTGAAAATTGACAAAGAGTAAGCATGGTGTCACTTTGCCAATGACAGCCACCAGAAGAATATATGTGAAATAATATTAATAAAAACAATGTTCTTCACTGACTTACTTAAGTCTGCATTTAATAAGCATTGCATTCACATTTAATAGAGGCAGAGAATGAAATTTAAAAGAAAATAATACATGATTTAAAAAATGTTTGACATTAAGTTCAATTAGATTTCTACTCTACTATAAAAAGTCAAAGGGAACTTTTAGTTTTGTTCTTTTTAATGCTAATTATTATTTGAAAGAGGTGGAGAAAGAGCGCACTGAAGAATCTGGAAATTTCTTTTGAAGCATTTTTCTTTATACACTGTATTTGTAAAGCTGAAGAGTAAATATCTGCAATTGATAAAAGTATAACAAAAAATTCTAATAAATTATTTTTTACAAAAAATTGCAATTAAAAGTGGAAGAGATCTAGGATCTGCCAAGTGTCCACTGTCTAGAAGGAGCAGTATTGGAGTGAAAAATCTCAAGCGTCTATAGAAACCAGGAAGCTTTTTCTTTTCCTCTCCAATATACAGCTATACAATAGACCATTAAATATACAGCTGTAGAACAGTTCTTGTGATCGTTATTAGTTCTGAAAACAGCATTCAATACTGATAATTTTGTTTTATAAAGGAAACTACTAATTTTCCTTTTGCTCACAGTAGAGCAGGGTATAACCATTACAAAATCCTGCATGTTAAAAAATTCAGCAGTAACTATTATTTACACTAGAACACACTATTTACTACTATGTTATTACACATACTCATGTTTGGAGAAGAAAACAACATTTGGACTTTTTTCAACCCAGCTTTAATGTTTAAAATATACAGTAATGATCACTGGGGAAAGAGGAAGGAAAAAAACCTTTGTAAACCTGGGTGGATGATGGAACACTGCTTTCAGCTATGTCTCCATGCATTTTCTAGGAAACAGTGTCAATTTTTCTGTTAGAGCCAGGGAGTGAAAACCAATCTGAAATGTTTATTTTACGTTCCTACTGACTGCAGTTCCAAAAAGTCCATCCAAGGTGCAATCCTTCTGACACTTTTAGTTGACAAGATGTAAGTCAATGTAAGGAAATAAGAATTTGTAGATTTGTTTCTAAACTCCTGCCCTCTCCATCTTACTCGCTTTTACCCAATCGAATCACGATCTTTATCAGATGCAAGGATAGTGATTTGGAAGGAAAGTGTTTAGTTCACACAGCACTGCTAATACACAAAAAACAATTCAAAATTATTTTCTTCTTAACTTCTACATTATGAACTTAGCAATTTGTTACTTAAAGATATACAAAAAAATTTGGAAGGGAATAAACTAAATCTTGAGATTTAAAATGTAAAGCCTCAGTACTGCAATTTTGATAATATGCTGTAGTAAGTAATTAAGCTTGATAATCTATGATGGGAGACATGTGGCTGCATCATCTACACGAATGTTTATTTTTGCCCTTTTGGCAGAGGAAAGGTCTTACCTTTCAAGTCCTATCTTTGCTAATACTATTGCTATTCTTTGTGACACAAGTATCAGAGAAAAAAAAAATCATGTTTGCAGATTCATTTTAAACTGGCCAGCAGTGGATTTATACAGAAGATGGGGTTTTCTTTCCTTGAACCAAGAAACTAAAACAATGATTTTATGAAGCTACAAAGTATCATCATTCAACAAAAGAAAATAAAACTGTATCTAAAAAGAATCCTATAAAATGTTGTTGCCAGTGTAGTGACTGATCTTTTGCAGCTGTTAAAGTAGGTGAGGTGAGAATGCAAGAAAGGACTGCAATTCCCAGCTATGGCAAGAAGTGCTGCAACACTCCACATCCAACAGCTGGGGAGGTCAAGTGATACCACTTCTCCCTCACATTAACCAGCAGAGCTGACTGAGCATGTGCACACCTCAGCTTTCTCTCACATTGACAGCATTTTTCAGGTCCACATGACCTATGCATTTTTCCTGTGAAGGGTTCCATGGAGCTTTACAGCATCATGTACCTTCACACTGACACTCTTAAATACAAGAATAGCCTTTGAAAGGCTGCCTGTTACTCTGCTGTCCTGGATACCTGTGGCCGAAAGTAATTTTGAATGGTTGCAAAATGTTATGAATGTATTAAAAAAAAATAAAAAAATACCCAACAAAAATGAAAAGCCCAAAACCCAAAGCAGTGTAAATAACCACTTCAGGGATGGTCACCTCAATAAACAGTTCTTACAGTGCCACCTGGTGGTTCACTCTCCTAAGTATCATTTAATTTATTTCAACAACGCTTCAGCAATTCAGAACACTAGTATTTTACACAGATATAAATATATAAATTCCTCTACACTTTAGAGGCCTATATGTAGAATTTTTTTAATAGTTTACTGTATAACTCATAATGGAAGACATTCTTACTACCACAAGCACTTCAGTAAACACTAATTAGCCTTTACCAATTTTTATTTTGGGGATTTAAATGATACAATCTCATGTTCTGAACAGGATATTTTACTTCAGAAAAAGCCTAGAATGAGAGTGCAGAAATTCACAATTAAATTAAAACAGTCTGACATTTTAATTTGAGACTTGTAAGTTAGAAAAAGTCCAATTTCCTGTATCATAATTATGTCAGAAAGACTTGAAATTCAAAGCAGTTAAAATACAATTTTTTATAACTTAAGTTTCTGGGTAGTTTTGAATTTGGCACAGGACCACAGTGCTACCAGCCCTGGCATTGTAATTCATGCCCACCTTGAAGTTTTATAAGCCCCAAATATTAGCTTCTGTTAGAGATAATAGCAAACATTTACTTACTTGTACAAGACAGGTCTGTCTTGTAAGGCTTCCATGGCTTGAGCAAGAACTGGAGAAATGTCACATGATTCTTGTGTCAATGTCCTGCATTCATCTATAAAATACCAACACAAATAAAAGCACATTCTTCACACTGTAATACGTTTTATACAAGCTGTCAAACAAGAAAATGAGTTAAAAACTCAAAGGCTTTTAATTTTGAAGGCTTCAGAATATGCTACCTGGGCTACTTAGTGTTAATACAGTTAAGTTCCCCTGCAAGCAGTACTGTAAAACACATGTCCATCACAAATTTCAACAATAAAAAGATTAAAGGAATCTTACTATTTGATCATGCCCACAAACAAATGTTGACTCATTCAACCTTCAGAATTTTACTGGGCTCCTTTATAACTGTTTATCACATTTCAGGTAAACTATTAAGAAAAAAATGGAGCAAGTAGTTAAGCAAACTATTTGTTTTGTCATTTAGTTCTGTTATTTTTTTTCTTTCATGAAAATAACTATATAATCTTGTATATTCCAGGCAAGAATGTGGAAATAATATAAATGAAATTAAACATTGACAGAAAAACGGTAACTTTTCATAAGGGTGAAAGCTCAACTATTATTTGAGGTTTCAGCATCCACTGATAAAGAGCTAATGAACCTAAAAATCACATTGCACCATTTTTTCCCTGCATGAATCTTACTGTGAGACAGTCTTTGGCTCCAGAGAAGAGGGAAGTAATAAAAAAAGAAAAAAAAAAAATTTGACAATATCAAGGTGTTACATTGAGCATGAATGGCTACATGCAGAGTACATATGCAAAAAAAACCAAAGCAAAACAAACTTGCTGTCTTTCAACAGAGCATCCTGACAAAAGAAGGTGTCTTCTTTTTTTTTCATTTTTAAAAGCAATCCACCATTCCTCCCACTAAACAAGATCTTACTACCAAATCATTAAAACAAACAACTTCCCTCTAACTCATAAGGAAATTAAATTCAATACAATTAAAAATTTGTCTGGATTACCAAACTGTAATAGTTGCCCTTTGTGGAAAGCTATCTCCTAAAAACACAAACAAATAATCCACTTTTATAATAATGAAATTGGCCCCAAAAAAAGGAGAGAGTTGCCAATTAACTGTTTGGTTCAAAACACATCTTTCCCTAACAAGGAAACCAAAATGTTAAGGTATCTTGGAAAGGGTTTGTGCTAAGTTCAATCCACATGAAGGAATTAAAGGAATCATCATAATAATATTCATAAACATAAAAACATTCTTAGTCCTACTTTGAGTCCATCTGTAAAGTCGTTCATAAGATGTCTCTTGCAGTAAAGCCATCTGTTCCATAATTTCCAAGCTACAAGACAAAAAAAAAGTTTATTTGCAAATACTATTTTAGGCAGCACTAGCAAAGGCATGTGCAAGTCAAATTAAACATACCATTATTAAAATTTTGAGTATTTAAATTTTTTTTTTTGTGAAAAATCCTATATATTTCTGTATATATTCTGTCATATGAAGCAAAGAATGAGACCTTCTTTAACTTGTGCTTTTAACTATAAATGGTTCTCTTGCATTCATTTAAGTAGGACTCACCCCGCCCTTTGCTGATTTGTTCGGAGGAGAATCTTGACATCATCATGAATTTGTTTTACTCGTCTCAAAGCTTTAAAAAAATCCTAAATCAATTTAAAAACAAAATACAAGCACCATGTAAAAGTAGTAATTTCTATTCAAATCTCTAGCACTCTATACTCCCTCTCTCAATTCTATTCCTACATTTCTTGCAGGTCTGTGTTCCAAATGTTGCTTTTAAAATTCACACCTCGCCTTGTTTCCCATTGTATCAAACTTTCCTTAAAAAAAACCAAAAAAGTACTAAAGATCTGTTTTCAACCTGTCTCGTGAAGTATGTGTGCTTCATGTCCATTAGGTAACTGCAGGGAGATTTTGAGGACACTGCTATGCATTGTATCACTGTCTTCCATTACTGTTAGCAACTACGGAGCAAAATGAAACAATGCAAAGTACAAGGATTACAGTGTTATATTTTTTGTATTCATAAAATGGGGTAACTATTTCTTAAAAAACAATTTAAAAACACATTTGAAATAGACTAGACTAAGGTTTTCCAGAACAACCTTTCCCTGTGGAGTAATTCGACAGCAGCAGTGAAAAAAAACCAACCAAACCCTAGAAGACAAGGGCACCTGACTAAGAAAGTTACTTTGTTAGTTTCAGAGTGCAAATGGAAGGCCAGTAACATTTTCAAACACGCCTTCTTATAAAGACATATTTCGAATGACTTGGAGGAGGCCATCTATTTCAGATACAACTGGTACATCTTTGTTGATTTGAACACAATGAGTTTGGTCAGGAAAGCAGTTTCATTCTGGCTCAGGTCACATAAAAATAGGCATATTCTACATAAAACAGGCCAGCAATTTAATCTACTGCCTTGCATTAATTGTGTTAAAGACCATGTTTATAAAAACCCAAAGCACTCTTCCTATGGGAAATCAGAAAATTTTGTCAGAAATCTGACTAAAGGTGTTTTAAGCACACTGGTTGACTCTGTCACAGGGGAAATGCACACACATGATATTACTGAAGGCTGCCAACTAAAGCAGAACAACTGTTTTATCTCAGTTGCTTCTGCACATTTTTTAGACAAAGTATCAAAAAGACCAGCCCTCACTGGCTCCAAAACAATCACACAGTAACCGACACAGCGTTACTGTCATTCCTCCCTGCAACAGGCACTTTCTAGAAACTTGAATGTTCTTTCATGGCCATAGTAGTACAAAAGCATACAGAAATTACTCAAGTGCACAATTATTTAGCACATCCCATTTATGCTTTCATTAGCACTGTTTATGGTTATCAGCTCCATGTTTTTAATAGTGCTTTAACTGCAAACAGGATGCCTGTGGAAATGAGACAAATCTGGACTACCTGCTGAGACACTACGTGAAGCTTTCCATGCAACTACAGTAATAAAACAGCCCATTCAGTAAACTCAATTCTTTCATTATTCAGTTTGCTTTTAATGTAGAACAAGTTTCCTTATACTGTGTCTTCTTATTCAAACCATAATATATTCCAAAACTCGTTTTGGAAGGTGGCTAAAGTGAATAAGCATCTAGTATCTTTAGCAACCAAGTATCATTGAGGGAAAGTCAGCTTCTATTGTCTCAAGTCACTGAATACCTATACACATTAATATGCAAAATTTACACACACATGCACAGTGGCAGTATTAGAGAGCTGCAAGCTTCTCATTTGCTTTGAGTGTCATGAAGTTTTAAGATGTTTTCACTGAAAATTCAGACTTCATAAAGGTCTTTTTGAAGCGTAGAACCCTATGAGAACTCCTTTGCCTCAAACTGATTACATGAGAGCTCATTTGCCTCAAACTCATTACATCGTTACAAAAACTATAATTTAATGCTGATTTTCTGTCTCTTTACTTGAATCTCTCATCATGCATTTCAAACTCAATGGAAATTCACAATTCTGTTAAGAGGTACATTCCTCCATAAAAAAATTAAATCTCAAACTGAAAATAGTATCTTGTGTGCAATTCAGTTAGGGTATTTCTACATTTTAGTTCAGGGCAAAGATTTTAATGTTCATTGAGCTACCTCAGTAATTGGCTCATCTTTAGTGCCTCGAAGCAGATTCATTTCATCCGGTGTCAGCTGGAATTTTGCTATGAATGCATCTGCAACTTGTGCTTTCATTTCTAATCTCTGACTGCAATAAAACAAATTGAAGAGAATATTAGCTTTTTATGCTTATCTCAAAGACTTATTTTTCACATTCATACTTTTGAAAATATAACCAGCATCCGAAATTGGTATTATTAAATCATAACAGCACATTCTTGCCATCAAACACTTGAGTTGCTTTTTCACATTCAACTTTCTATTATTCAGATTATTCAGTAAAGACAATATAGAGGTATGTTAACACATTTGAAAATAACTAAATTCTTTAAAATTACATTCCTTTAGCATTTCTATCATAAATTGTCTAATCCAGATATATACCTGTATATGTCTATATATAGATATATACATGTGTATAACACCTGCTAAGTTGATACAAACTGCAAGTTGTAATGCTTACTGTTATTTCCTTTCAAATTCACTGAGGAAAGAAAAAGCCTATAGCATCCAAAATTACTAAATTAAGCATAGATTAATCTCATTTTCTGCAGACCACATCCATTTCTTTGTAACACCATACAGCTGGAATGCTGATTTACTGATGTCACAAGCAACCAAAATGCAATGGCTAGATCTCTTGTTCCTGAAATAAACACAGCCAGGATGCAATATGCAAACACCATCTCTATGGCAGCATTTTCCTGCACACATTTCCTGCACACCTTACAACCACAGAAGGACCCAAATGGAATGGACTGGGACTCCTGTAGCAACAGAAAGTTTGCTTGAACTGTGGTTTGAGCACACAGTATTCCAGGAAATAAAGACTACTTTTTCAGGACATTGAGAAGGTACTAATTAATTATTTGCAAAAGAATAAAGCTCAATTCCTTTAGGATTATTTCTTCTTTCAATGTGATATAATTACTACAAGATAAATACATTGTTATCACAGGGTGGTGAGACAGGCAAGTGTACTTCTATATACTGTATAATTAAATTTCCTTGCAAGATCAAAGCTTGAAAAGTAACCTTTCACTCATTTACCCCTTCCCTACTATCCATCTAGTGTCTGAACTTCATTCAGCTACAAAGTATGGAAAACTGGCTTCCCTTCAGCAGACATGGATGACTTTCCCACCCTGAAGTTCCACAAACTCTTTTAGAGATCAGATTCAATGTTTGGCAATTGTCAATGCTCTAGCACACTGAACAGTGAGAGGGACAGAAATACAAAATCCAACAGCACTTCAACAGTAAAATCTATGAAAATCAAAAGGGGAAAAGCAAGCTGATACTTCTAAGTTACACAGAAGAGATCTAACCAAAAAGGAAAACAAAAAACTCATGCTTTAATACCACATCTTGAATTGATAATTCAGTTTTCACTGGGGTTCTAAGCAAATACGATTTTTTCTTTACACTGACAGTTTTGCAATGCTTAAAATCAACCTATTTAATTTTCTCTAGGTAAATGCTACAATTCCAAATTTTGGGTTCCCATGAAGTCAGATGTTTCTCAGGCAAGGAATAAGAGTGATGGAGGATGATTTTAACCAACTATACAGGCAGATGCATCCATGAAAATTCTTGGCACTTTCCAACACAGCAGAAGGGGAATTAAAAACACCATTTTGAACAAATTCAGTAAATTTTCAGAAGGAAGACTTATGTGGTGAAATCTGAAGAGAGCAAGTCATACTGTAAGAGGCAAAAAGACAAGTGGTCTACAAAACATGCAAGAAACAGACAAGAAGATATTAACAGGAGTATTTTAAAATCAGTATTAGGCCTGTGAGAGATGTTCTGAGGGTAACTATGAAATTCTCTCAACACAGATGAAAGATAGGGCAGGTTTGCTCTGCACTAACATGCTCAATGCAGTGATGTGTAAGCCATGCTACTCAGGCTGCCTCAGCCTTCCCTGCTCATCCCTGCCCTGTATGGAGCTTCCCACTGTGCCTGGACCACTGTTTACTGCATCATGTAGTGAATCAGATCAGGGAACAAATCTGGTAGGAAAAAAATCCACAAGTTCTTACTTCTTGGGGGTGGAGATTACATGTATTTTCGACTTCAGTTTACCACAGCCTGTGCTAAGGGACTGGGGTGTGCTAGTGCCAGGAGTCATCAGAGGCAAGAAGGCATTGACTTCACTGCTGTTACAAAACTCTTACGAAAACTACACTTCAGAACTCCTCTAGGGTATAAGAAGAGTTCATTTCAATTGTCAGTTACAACTACTACTACTAATAATCAAAATCATAAATATTAAGACTCAAGAAAACCCAAGAGGCATCAAGATGGCTACTCAAATTGAAAATCAGCCAAGGACACTTAAAATTTAACATAATGATGTTGCTTTTAACAAAGCATTCCTCTTTCACACTGTTTGCTGAACAAGTCTAATGCCTCAACATCACCATCACTGTATTTGGCTGAAAGAAGAAAATGTAAATTAGTGAATTAACTTCAATAGTTGCTCCAAATCGCTCTTGGGATGAAAGTCTCAATTTAATATAAATTCACAAAGCTGAAAATAGATTGGATTACCCCTCCCTTTAGTAAGAGAATGAAGGTAGCAAAGAAATGAGAAAAGGAAAATGAAAGGCCTTCTTTGGGTTTAATTGAAACAAATCTTCCACAAAGAGGGGAGCAGATGGGGTGCTGAGAAATTTTTCTGTTATTTGAGTCTGTGCACTCTTGAGTGCATACACTTTTAAATGCTCTTAGAGAAGATCTCCAAATATTTACTATTGTCTTCTGTTCTTCAGATTTTTTGAATGTATACTTCCACCAAACTGGGGGTAGGAGGAAGTCTGATTTTAGGAAGTGTAGTATACTGGTCATAATGGTTTTCTCAGTTTTCAGGTGGAATTAGGGTTGTGGTAGAAGGCACAGAGTCAGGAACTGTACAAACAGCATGCTCGTCAGTCCATCTGGGAACTCTCTGCCCTGTTTTACTCCTCCATTATAAAAAAAAAAACCAGTCTTGCTAATCAATATCTCTCCTTCTGCAAGTCCTCACTCTTCACAGTTCTCCCTCCAGTTTTGCTGCTATGGAAAACAAGGCTTGATCAAACACCATGGTTTAAAGCCACTCCCATCCCTGGCTGTGTCTTGGGCTAAAGCCTGGCATAACCACACACTGATGGACTCCATGCACTCCCAATAATTAACTTTTATAAAATACAGTCAGTACATTAAACTCAAGCACACTGGCCAAGCTAAGCTTCAGAATGTACTCACAAGATAACAACCTCAAGGTGGCAGCAATGTTTCATTCACTTTTCTCAAGATAGTGACTGGGAAGTGGTGACAAATATCTCTCCTAAACAAAAACATATGTCTGAATTTTGATAAAGCTGTTTCTGTTGGGATCTTTACAAAATACACAGGATTTCAAAGAGCTTTAAAAAAAAAAAATCCGTTTCAGAACCCAGGTCAGCCAGTTCTGCTTGAGATGACCGTTAAAGGTCCCATGATTATCCATCTGCACAAGAAAGAGACCCTATATCCTAGATGATTGATTAGGAAAGAAATATGTAAATTGTACATATCTTCAATTTTTGCCTGGCAGTGTACAGTATTACTGAGACAAATACACTCAAATCTATATATATATATATATTTCCTCACACCCAAGCTAACATATTTAACTAGAATTGAATCTATCCTACTAAGGCAGGGCAATGGATTAAAGTGTCACCACTCAAGGTTGCTGTAATCATTTCACTACAGTAAGTGCTTTACAAAACACAATGCAGGTAACAACAAAAGCCAGTGTAAGGTTGTCTTACATATAACCCACAGCAGACAGTACCTGTGTGCAGAAAATTGGACATTTCAAGATGCACTGGCCTTTCTGTAGACAAAATAATTTCTAAATTTTAAGCAGGGCAGTACAGCTGGGAAAGGCTGTACAATGTTGTTACCCCAAATTTTATATATATATTTTTTTTAACAAAGTTAATCCTGTATGAAGGACCAAAACTAATAGCTTATGGGAACCCTGCATTGCTGCAAAAGGGAAGTGCCAAGTGTTGGTAGCATTTAGAACTTGGGCAAAGGACAGGATTCCAACGAAGAACAATTTTCCCCATTTTAATCGTTACCAGGGAGACAGAATTCTTTTGCAAGAGAACTCAAAAGGCTGGGAAAACTGCACTTCATGCACTTTTCCCTTGAATGAAATACAAATGTGCACTGTTTTTTAGGATTATCACCTAGACAGCTCAAAAATGAGGTGGAGAATAAGCAGACTTTTCCAAAGCTTAATTTTATCTTGCCACCACATGCAGCATAAAAATCTGATAGTTTCTTCTACCTAGGATGAATCAGAGCATTCTGCTGTTGATTTGTTGTTTCAAAACTTACAGTGTTTTGGAAGGACATTTGTACTTTCAATTTGTGGTACTGAGGATTCAACACATTTTTAAAGCCTCAGGACAATGGAGTATTTCTAACTCGTACATAAATAACAATCATTTTTAACAGACTTGTATAAAGCTGCACAATTATTTTTCTGTCATATGAAAAGCAAATATATAAGATTCTGTAAAAAATCATTTATACACAAGCATTAGAAAACTTCTTAAGAGTAAGTACAGCTGCAAAGGTGCATTTGTAAATGCTAAGAACAAATGTTTTGTTCTGTATTTTATCTGTCAAACACATCTCTTATTGAAACAGAACTGAAATACTGTGAGGAGGTATTCAGTGATGCATTCCATCATAAAATCAAATTATGAAATAGTCTCCTTAATTAAAAAATAGGAAAACATAAAAAAAACCAGTGAATTGTCTAATGTTTCCAGGATACAAGAAAATAGCAGTAATAGTAAAGAAGGCTTTACTGAGACCTCATCTGGAAAAAAGATCACAATCCTGATCATCTGTGTCCAAGAACAATGGATTCTCATCAGACCACAGCTAGCAGGGTGATCATGGGAATGGAAAAACTAATTTATCACAGGAGATGAAGGCAGCTCTTAAGACAAAGCACAAGATGAGAAAACAGCCAATTTATATCAGAAAACAGCCAATTTATATCCAACAGTTAGGTTGGAAATCAGGGAAAGGCCTTTACTGGAAAGAATGAGCTTTTGGGTAAAGTGTTCCACAAACAGTAACACACACAACATGCAAAAATAATGCACTAGTTATGTGTTGAACAGCTGATGAGTTTACCAAAGTCATCATGCAAATAATAGGTGGCAGCAGGAGATTAAAATGATTAAAATCTTACCAAACAGATTACCAAACACTAGAATAAAAAAGCTTAAATGTTGTAAATAAATTTGAGAAATTCAATAGTTTTCTACTTTTATACTGATAAGTCTTCTTCTAAATATGATGGGTAACATCTACAGAATTTTTTTGGACAAAATTTTCATATGCAGAGTTTTGCAGCAATCACATGATATATACAGATACAGCTATAGAAGCACACACTGTAAATCAGTGTTTGACAATGGTTAAGATCCATGATCCATGGTTTAATGGTTTCTTAGTTGTGCACATAGATTAAGTTTAAAAGTCTGTTTCCAATGAACACATTCTTTTCCATCTTGTGGAAATGAGCTATTTGGTATTTCCAGACCAAACAGACTGGTTTCTTCAGTTTATCTTTTATAAAATCTGATATTAAGCCACTTGAAAGGGGCCTGCTTAGTCTAGCCTCAAATTTGCCATTAAATTCAAAAATGTTGCCAAAGGCATGAAAATTACACACTGTTCTCTACATCTACTTGGAATAAGATCAAATGAGCTTAAGCTGCAGCAAAAGAACTAAATCAGATAGTAGGAAAACAATAAAACCAAAATCAATTTCCAATGAAGACCACAGACTCTCTGTTCCTTCTGTTCCTGGGCTTTTCTTCTCGAAGCACATGAGACAAACTTCAGTCAGGAATGGTACCATATAACTGATTCTGCATTTCTCATGAAAGTTTCTCGACCTGTAAAACCATGCCTCATGTCATACTGAGAGTACTTCATGGCTCAACAGAGCTGCCAGGAAGAAAAGCTGGCAAGAAAATAAGGCTTTGTAAATTCTCTGCTGGTCATGGCTAGAATGTGACAAGTTTTGTTTCTTTTTTTCTTTCAGACCCATTTTATTCCTCTGCTATACCTTGTCACATATGCTTTACTTTCGTACAAATCAGAATAGAAAATGAGCCTCAGAATTTCAAATCTTCACCCTCTCCCACACGGAATTATAATTAAGTTTAGGCAATAACTGCTTTTTCTCATGAAGCACATTTAAAGGAATAAGTGTAAATACAAGTTTCAAAAAGTCAACATAAGAAATTCATCTCATCAATGCAGACTACCAGATCACCACTTTTCTTAGCACAGGGTGATAAAAGCAAAAAAAACTCTGTAACCTGCTACAAATAGTGCTGAATTTCCTGCATCATTTCCAAATTGATTAGACAAAAAAGGTATTTGTTAGGAAAGAAAAAAGTATTTTTCCTTTCACCACCAAGAGACAAGGATGAGAGATGAGTAGTGTAGCATTTACAAAGCAGATGTTCACTTAGAAACATTTTTTCCCAAGACTTCTGAGCTTGTATTGAGCACAGTGGTGACAGTCAAATAATTGACTAAATTCCAAGAATGGTGTTTGTTATTTTTTAAATAAAGATCAAGCCTGAATGTAATGTAATCAAATTAAAACAAACTGAAGTACACACATTCCTGTCTGGAAATCATATTTAATTGTATGTTAAAAAGTAAAACAATCCCAAAGCTATGTAAATGGCTTTTTTTCAATCAATATAATTAACAATGATTCTGACCACAAAACACAAATTTTGCTCTGTTTCAGAACACAATTAAGAGAGTAGTAAAATAAGATAGTCTGTAAAGGTGTTCAAGTGCATAATCTCCACAAAAGGTCTGAATCAGTAGTCTGACTCAAGAAATATCTGTCTGAGCCATTATTTCGTAACAGTTTTCAGAGTATTGTGGCTTTTACTTCTAGAACACTAATTCTAACCCTCAACAACTTCTGTTTTTCTGCAAACTTACTGTCAGTGAAGCTCCTGAGCATATCCATTCACTTACATAACTGCTCCTATTTAATTTTATAAGAATTAATATTGCAAGTGTTACCTTCTAGTCTCTCTTCTCAATTGTTACATTGATGACTGTAACTTATGGCTAACCTCAAAAACACCACATCATCTTACACAACATCTTATTATTAAATGACTGGTATAATTACTACAAAGTCAAGCTTCTGGAATTCTGCATAGAGTATTTGGAACTTAAGTTATTTCTCTGGTGGGACATTACTGAACTCTGGGACACTTGTTTTTTATGCAAAGCGAAGTAGTTCAGTATTGCAAGTTTTCAGCCTCACACCATAAAAATACCCAAAAAACAAACAAATAAAAAAACAACAAAAAAACCATAAAACACCCACACAAATAACAAAAACAAACAGATAACAAACAAACAAACCCCAAAAAAACTGGAGTGAAGTATAACAAGAGAACCAGAGAACCAAGTCAGAGGAAGCTATTATTAAAATGTCACTTCAAGGAGCAAGATCCTTTTTCTGTCAGCCTGCTAGAAATAGCAATTAAACAAACCCACATCTTTTAAAGCACAACAGATGTTCACTGTTTAAAAACAAAAAAATCTCCTCATTACTATACATAAAAAACCTAACGCAACCTGAAAGCAATATTAATGTGCTCAAGTAGAAGTAGACAAATCTACTGAAGATACTGAAATGGATTTTTAATAATAACCAGAAATTAACTCAGTTTTTCTTTATAATAGAAGTTGTTATGAAATACATTAAAATGAACACTCTATTCAAAACTCTATGTTATTCAGAAGCAATAACAACCTTTTGTTATGAAGAGACGGGTTGGATGTCTGGACTACTTTATTTCACACTACACGATTCTATTAAGTCATGGTAAGTCTCAGTTTCAAAGAAAAAAGGAAGAAAACTCCATCCCAATTCCCTATATGCTAAGCAGATACCATAATTTAAATAGTATGAAGGAAAACTGTTTCTAACGCAGTTTTAACTAGACTCCACAGAAGAAATAAATTCAGAATAAGCAACTTAACTGACCAAAGAAATGCACCAACTCTGACATATTCACAAAGATAAATATGCAATTGTATTAATTACTTTTAAAATTTGTTATCTAAGTAAGACCCCGTATTTAGCATTTATGCCAAAGCAGGTCTAAAGCTCACAAACTAAGTAACAAGAAAAAAAAATGCTGCAAAGCAAAAACCCAAGAATACAGAAGTCTTAACCTAATTCTGAGACAAATATCTAATTTTCTATGCCAAATATTTACCTATATGTCATAAATTCACGCATTTCACCAATACAGGAAGTTCCAAAGTGCTCATCAGGACTAGCTACAGGAAACTCCAGGTGGGCAGTTCTACCTTCAAACTGCAAATCTGAGAGACTAGGATAACCAACACGAGCTCAGTTAAGAAGCTTTGGAAACTGAAAACCATCTTGAACTACAACTAATTACATACATGATAATACAATGCCAAAACTACTTAGTATAAAAACCTAGTACCTGCACGGAGCCACTCCTTTTCAAGTACTGCAAAAAAGGAAAATAATCTAAATTTCTAGTTACTGTAACTGCATGGAATGCATCTGGAAGTTTATAGTCCCCCTTCAGTTTCAGATCATTGAATAAAATCCTAACATTTTTCCAGTTACAAAAACATGGTCACTTTTAGCAGAAAGTCTTTTAAGTAAACTATAGTGCAAGTAAGGACTATAGTGCAGAGGTACTGATGTACAGTCTACATAATCTTCTTTAATGGAATTTAAGGCAAATTAGACATACACCACTTGGGACTGGTCTTGGTATCTCCCATTCTGCTTCAGGACAAGGAATCAAAGCAGCCTTCCTTTTCTTGAGACTACAAAATATATAACCATTTCTCTGTCCTACTACTTCACATACTCATATTCAAAATGATATACTTTCTAAGACTTCTAAAGTGTCTTTAACAAATCCTTCACTTTATATGAACCAGCATTTCATTTTATGCTGTTATTTTACAATCAAAGTTTAAAATATGTACAAATTAGACTCCACATTCAGACATAATCCATTTCCTACTGAAGCTCGTATCATAAGCCTACTGATTTTGAAAGCTCACTGAGAGCTATCCAAAACCATAATTTCTACTAGAAACTCACTACTGCAAAATTATTTCTAACCTCCAGTGAACTGTATATAATTTTCCAAAGAAAAAGCAAGGAGATTCATTCTTCTACACTAAGAAAACTTGAAGCTATAAAACCATATATCCTAGCCATAGAAACAATAAAGACTGCTTGAATCCATCATTGGCTATTATATACTTCTCAGGAATAAAAACACTGAAAAGAGAAAAATACAAATCTTTTCTTCCACAGGAGGTTGAAGAACCAATGGAAAAAGTCTGTGCTAGGCTCATTGAACAGCACTCCTGTGTTTTACAGTCAGCTTTAAATATGGCAGAATAGGTTAGAAGCCAGCTTTGCATTCCCTCATACAGTCCCTGAAAAAGAGAGAGCTTTCCACTGGATATGAAGCATTAATAACAAGAAGCCTGTCAAACTGATGAGAAATTGAGTTGGTCCATATCTATTATGACACAATATAACTTACATTATCAACAGACTTTAGGCAAACCACATCCCTATTTAGCATGTGCTACCACTGTAACTGATTGTTTTTCCTAAAAAGCCAATTTTTATTGAAACAAATGCTAACAGACATTCTTACCATTTTGGATCATTTAGCAATAAGCTAAGAGGACAACTGAGCTAAAACCACATATAGTATTGAAAGAAAAACTCAAAGTCATAAATCAAAGAGTCAGAGTCACATCTAAAATAAAATTCTATCAAATAAGGTGGTATACGTACTTTTCTGCCTGGAGTTTTGTGGTTTTTACAATCAAGTCCTGGGTTTGTTCCTTTGCTGCCTAGAATACAATTTGAATTGTTAAGCAGGTGAAAACCACAAACATATCAACTGTATCAAACAATCTTTAAAATAGGTAATACTTTTTAAGCTTTCTGAGTACAAGGCATTTAAAGAGTATACTCTTTGAAACAAAAGGCCTTCTTGAAACAAGTATTCATTAACTCTCCCTATGTCCAGGCTGTAAAAAAATAAATTTTTATCCTTATCCATATATATTTTCACATTTATATACATTTATATTCACACAGTTTGTTTTTAATTTATATTTAATAGAGAAACACTATAAATATTACAAACAATTCTGATTATTTTATTTGCCCATCAACTGTAAATTGCTGTCACAAAGTAAAAAAATGAAACAAACTCCTTTGGATGCTAGATTTCCCAGTACCAGTGTCTACCCAGACCTTTTAGAAAAGATGATGAACACAGCCCTGTTAGTCTGAACAAGCCTAGCTCTCCAGTCCAACAGCTTCCAGGGCTGCATGGACCAAGGATAATTATTAGTAAAAATTTCTTCACTGAAAATGTGGTCAGGCATTGGAACAGGCTGCCCAGGGAAGTGGCTGAGTCACCATCCTTGAAGGTATTTAAAAGATGCGTAGGTGTAGCACTGGGGGACATGGGATAGCGGTGGACTTGGCAGTGCTGGGTTGGACTCAATGATCTCAGAAGCCTTTCCCAATCTAAATGATTCTACCATTCTAACAGCAGTTCACTTAGGAAGTTCATCACAGCCTTAAATATTAAAAGATGGCAGTGCAAGGGGAATCCATGCAGAAACAATTCTGCATCAGACAGCAACTAAGTAACTAAAAGGATTGTTGCAACTGAAGTTAAAGAGCTCTGAAACTTTTTGCTCTGTGAAAAGCTGTAAGACACCCGGAATTTCTGGCTTCACACTGGATGCCACCAGAGATCCTTCATGTAGAAAATTTGAGATGATTTAACAAAAAATAAAAATTCTAAAATCAAAATGCATTCAATACAGAATAACACTCCAAGTGAAGAGGTGGAAATGGCAATAATGACATTCTGTGTGAATAATTTCAATACTGTATTGCAGCCAAATTACAGCTTGCCAAATTGAAGATGCCAGTCTTGAGACCCCTGAGAGGTTTAACAAAATTATCTGATTCATTTCAGCCTTTCTATCTGCCACTACATTAGTTACAACAGAAAAGCAATCAAGGTACAGGAATGATTTGAAAGGTGAAAGTAGGACTGTAACAATTCATGTCCAATTTAACTGCAAATTTTAATAAACAAAAAAGAAGAAATTTGCTTCCTTTCCAGTACTTTCTGGGCAGAAGTACTGATTACCACAAATAATTCTAACAGCAAGACAGCAGAAAAGAAGGAACAACATTTTTTTCCAAATCTATCTAGATGTACTAGGAAGCCAGTTTTTACATACGTGCATTCAAATACACACCATATATTGTCATTATTTTATGTATGAAATGTAAGAGCTTCCATCTAACCAAAGTAACAGTCAGAAATGAGCCAGCTATGCTGGAAAAATCATAAAGTTGGTATTTGACATTTCTTGTATATCCAAAACAGAAATATTTTTCTCTTCCTGCCCACTTCAGTATATTAATTAACAATTTCACTATACTTCAGCCCCACTGAATTCCATTTCAGCACTTGCTCTTTCTCTCCCTTTCAGTCACTATATTTATCAAGTCACTGTCCTAAAATCAGATGTGAAAATATATGGTTATTTGGATCAGATGGTATTATAAACTTACAAAATAAACTCAGAAAAACTTACTTAGATAAGTTTACAAAATAATGAAGCCAAAAAGCTTTTTGGCTTATCCAAATATACTTCCTTTCATGTCCTGCATTTGTTCTGCTTTCTTAATATACTGCTCTCTTTGCACATTTTCCTGCGTTATATGCCCCAAATCCTCCTCTTTGTATCTTCTATTTGCTCTACCTAGCTAATTTTTGTCTTCTTACTCAGTCTGAGCACATGCCTGCAAGTCTTCCTGTCCTACTACAGAGAAAGTAGCAGAGTATTTCACAACTGAGTTCTAGTTCATGAGCTTATTAACTTTACATTCATACAAAGAAAATATGGATTGAATCAAGACAAGTTATGAGTTTTACAGAGCTCTAGAGGAAACCTCCTGTGGGGCATGGAACAAAACTACCTACTGACTTTAACAGAAAAAGGAATCTCTGCAGGGTGGCTCTACTCTGGGAAATGACAAAAAAAAAAATAAAATCACAGACTATAGTTACACTTCATGATCTAAAGACAGAAAAGAGCAAAAATCTGCATGGACACTTGACTCATTTCCACATCTAAGAGCTTAGTCTAACAGTTCCTGAACTGCACTAGGGAATATATCCACATTAACAATGTTCAAAGAGATCTGAGACCTCTGAGGCACATTACCTAGTTCCTTCCAAAACTGAAAATTAAGTACTGCAGTTGGCTACACTGCACTCTCACATTTTTTGGTACAAGTTCATCAAGCTACAAGCATTTGTACAATGACCACGAAACCTATTTATCAAAGAGGACATCTAATATCCACACACATGTATTTGGAGAGGTAAACAACTGTTTCCACAGGATTTTTTTGGTGAAGGATTCTTATTCACATACTGTAACTTATGTGCTGTATTGTTAACAGGTTTGGTTTGTCAGAACTTTTACATTTTGGCATCCATAAGCCGTTTATATTCATCACTGCATTGAATTTTGAACTTGTACCCTAAAACCAAGCCAGGTTTAGTAATGCACCATAAACCACAAATTTCCTACACTCCCCAGCCAGGAACATTACAGATTCAGAATTAAGCTGAAACAGAATTGGTTTTGTTGCATATCAGCATTCTGAGACAATGTTAAGAAACAAAACCAAAAAAACCTGAAGATGCACACCAGAGTTGTCTCCCTCTTTGAATTACCAGATACTTTCATATGAATATACTGGATATACTGAGGTATTTATATGAACACATAACAGACACAGTCAGTACAAAAGCCATTTTAAATGGAAATATGCAAATCTAAATTTAAATTTAAAATTTAAATTTAAATCTGACACACATCTAATCTAAAAAAATATTTTCTCTCTGCTGATGTACACATGGATATCACATTGCTATTCTCAAAATAACTATCTGGCTGCATTTTGAAAGACATTAAAATTACTTCCTTGACACATTTTCTAAACAAATAAAAAGAAGCATATTAATATTCCAAAGTAATATAATATGCATTCCATGGAAACATCTTGGTGTTGCTAAGACACAAAAATTACAAAACAAAAATAAAAACAACTCTTGGTCCTTTTAAAAGCAGTCACATCTCAAAAGGAAAAATATTCAAAGCACTCCACTTATATATTACCTTCAAACGACTGGACATGTCTTCACAGCAGCTGCTCATTGCTTGCACATCTTCATTTATACTCTCGAGTTCCTAAATAAGTTCAAATAATGTTTTTCATCAGAAATGCTGTGTCCAGGCCCAGCTCACCACCACCACTAGATGCCCCAGGTACAAGGAACATTGTTTCTCTAGGCTCCCTGTTAGTCAGTGCAGAGTAATGCACCTCTAAATATCAACATTCACTCAGGACTTGGATCTGTTTGACACATCCAATGCAACACTTCCAACAAATGAAACAATTCTAGTATAAAAGTATATCTGTTCTGGAAAGTTAATATGTCTCTTAATCCTTTTTTCTTTTTTTAAACTTCAAATCACATGGCAGTACTCCTGGAAAATAGCTATTCACGCTGCAAAAGCATTACCTCTTTAACTTGCTTGAATATGTGCACAAATTCTTCATTTATGGCCAAGCTTCGTCGTTCAATGTCTCCACGCAGGTTCCTTCGGGTGCGCAAACTGTTTTCCACAAAAAAGGTCGAGAGAGCCTTGAGTGCTTCCAGCATTTCCTAGAAAATAAAAAAGGTCCTTCGGTTTGCATGCAGTTACAAAGAAGCAGGTTAAATAGTCTGTACCCACCCCAAGTTCACGGTCTTATTAAAAATGAAGCAAAGCAGGTAAATGCTTTTAGAGAAAAACCTTAACATACTCCACATCACTTGGAAAACAGCTAAAGTAATTGCTCAGCCTTTTTTCTTATAACAGGAAACTTAGTCCACAATTTTACAGTAGCTTTAACCAATAAGACTACTTTCTGTAAATGAATGACATTCACAACAAGAAAACACCTAAATTACAAAAAGCTGGAGAATTGCCCTCCGAGGCAAGTAATACAAACCTCCCTACGATCTGAAGGGATAAAACAGGAGCGTGGCATGTTGCTGGAGAAGCGGAAACTAATTTAATCTGTAATTAATGCTGCAAAGGGCCGCCCGCAGCTCCGCAGCGGAACTGAGGGTACGGCAGGACTCGCCCCCCCGCCGCGCAGCCTGTCGGGGCCCGCGGCCCCTGACGGCTCATCCGGCCCCCACCGCGTCCCTCCGCCGCCGCCCGCCCCACCTTGTCA